CCATACTAACTACAACATATTTACTTAAATTAAGGTCATTTACCTGTAAGACACAACAAACAATTACAAAACAAAGCAAAGGAGAAATCACGACCACGCCGTTTTTTCAATCAAATATTCTTAAACAGTCTGATAATCTTACTTAAGTTATCAACTTTATATACAGCTTTCAGTTTAATTATAATATTGTCAACACATAATTCATAATTTAAATCATATAGAAATACCCGTTGGAATGGTTGGAACAGTTCATACCCAAGCATTTTTGTCTGTAATATAATCAGACACTTTATAATATGCTTTCTTAACTAGTGATTTTTTAATGGTCGATTTAAATTTAGTCATGCTTAACTCTTGAATATTGCTTGGAACTTTATTGTAAAAGCGAACACTAAGACCTCTAAACGAATTATTGATTTTGTGGAGCCTAGTAGCAGGTAAAGTTAAGTTATTTTTATTTCTAGTATTATATGTATGTATTTCACTATTTTTAGTAAACAAATTAATATTTTTTTTTACAAATACTAAGCTGTCATATATGTATTGTGATGCAACTGTCAATATACCTATTTCTTTAAACTTATCTCTTAATGAATCCTTAACTTTAAGATTATAAATTGATCGAATAGCCCTCTTCTGCAGCACAAATATAGTTTGAATGTCGGCGGCATTTCCCCACAGTAAAATACCGTAAGACATTACACTATGAAAATAACTAAAGTAGACTAATCTGGCAGTTTCTATATCCGTTAACTGCCGTATTTTCATTACAGCAAATGCTGCAGAACTAAGTCTCTTCGACAATCCATCAATATGTGGGCCCCACTGCAGCTTAGAATCTAGTGTGATTCCTAAGAACACTGTGGTATCTACAGAGCTCATATGTCGATCCTTTATATTTACATTAGTTTTTACCTGTTTCACATTAGGTAATACAAATTTCAAACACTTAGTTTTCCCTTCATTTAGCATCAAATTATTAACATTGAACCAGTGGACTACCTTCGAAATAGACCTGTTCACGTCATCAATTTGTGACTCCCTACGTTTAATTTTAAACAAAAGTAAAGTGTCATCCGCAAACAATACTATTTCGTGGTTATCCTTTACAAAATAGGGCAAGTCATTGATATAAATTAAAAATAAGAAAGGACCAAGGATTGAGCCCTGCGGAACTCCCATCTTAACCGACGAACCAGGAGATTTTACTCCATTGATGTCAACCCTCTGAACCCTATCACTCAAATAAGATACAATAAGATCCAGAGTGGTATCTCTAAATCCGTAGTGGTGAAGTTTCCTGATCAATGTTTCATGAAAAACGCAATCAAAAGCCTTTGATAAGTCACAAAATACACCTAATGCATCTTGCGAGTTCTCCCAGGCATCAAAAATTTGCTGTACAAGCTCAACACCGGCATCGGTTGTTGAGCGACCCCTTGTGAAACCAAATTGTTTACTATGAAGAATGTTATTACTATAAAAATATGATTGCATTTGATCTAGCATAATTTTTTCAAAAATCTTACTAAAGGTGGGTAACACGGATATAGGTCTAAAGTTTGTGGGGTCAGATGTGCTACCCGATTTATGTAATGGAGTTATTTTACTGAGTTTCATTAGATCAGGAAAAACACCACAGTCAACACATTGATTAAAAATGCTAGCCAAAATAGGAGCTATTGTCTCAATTACTGATCCAGAAACATCCACGGAGTTACCCCACAGATCCGCAGTTTTCTTTTTATTTAATTGGTTGAAATATTTTATTACATCTTTACAGTTAACATACTTAAATTTAAATTGACTAGTATATTGTTTTGTGTGTTCTTTTAATATTGATTCAGCAGCAATGGGGGACGAGTTCAAAGATTTTGTAGTTGAAACTGGAATATCAGTGAAAAAGTTCTCAAATGCTGTAGCAACTTCAACATCTGATGTAACATTTCTATGTTCAATGTTTAAATTAAAACTAGTATTTCGAGTTTTAGATTTTCCAGTTTCATTGTTTATAATGTTCCAAGTCATTTTGATTTTGTCATTACTATTCTTAATCTTACTACTTAAATAATTTGATTTTGCTGTACGACATACTTTTTTAAATAACTTTGAATAATTACGTACGTACTCTTTGAAACTTTCACTAGTATTAATGCTGCGTTCATTGTAAAGTTCATAAAGTTTCCTTCTACTTTTATGTATGCCTGGGGTGGCCCACTCGCTGAAAGTTACTGCATCACTAACACATATGGTTTTGGGAACAAAGACATCATTAAATTCTTTACAAAAATTATTAAAAAAATCATTATACATATCATTTGGACTACTTTTATACTTTAAATAACTCAAACTCCTATCTAATTGAATTTTAAAACGCTCTATACGGTTAACAGATTTTGGCACAATAGTAATATATTTCTTGGTGATATTTTTATTTGGATGTGGAAAAGTAATCATCTGGCCACAATGATCACTATCCAGTTGATTAACAATTACTTTTGAATGTGGTATTATATCCGTATAAATATTGTCAATACAAGTGGCCGAAGTGGCAGTTATTCTAGTAGGCTCCATGAACAAGTTTTCAAGATTATATGATTGAAATAGATTTCTTAATTTAATACTCAAATTAGAGGTTTCTAATAGATTAATATTAAAGTCACCACAAACAATTAATCGTTTACCAGTGTTGACAATTTTTTCTAAAGCTTCATCCATAATAGTTTCAAAACAATCATACAATGCTGAAGGAGGTCTGTATACACTCAATACAACAAGCTGGTCCAGTTCCACACAGGCAATCTCTATTGTTCGCTCAACCGAGAGGCTCACAATATCTTTACGTTCCTTAAATTTAAGTGCCTCATTTAATAAAATTAAAGAGCCACCGCGAATCGCATCTTCTCGACTGAACGAACTACCAACCTGATGATTATTAAAATTAAAGATGAATTGATGACTTTTAAGCCAATGCTCTGTGATACAAAATATATCTATATTGTTACAATTCAAAAATAATTCAATTTCTAAGTCCTTACCCATCATTCCTTGAATATTTATATGCATCAGGTTGATCAAGTTTACATTTTCTTTTAATTGTTTGGGATTTTTCTTAATTAAATTAATATTTTTATGCAAGTTATTACAATAATTAGTTATTTATTATTAAGCAAGACGAGTTGTCTGTTGTCTCATTATTTAATTTAAACAATAGTTATTATTTTGTAATTTGTCAGTAGAAGAATTACTGACTGTCAAGTCAATGGAACATTGCTCAATAAAAGCAATTTGTTTAGCCAAGTTTTTGGCTGTTATATAAAAATAATATGATAGCGACTTAGCTATCTGTCTTTTATAATAATTAGAAAGATAATGGTGTCAATTCTGATACGATTCTCTAAACCTAAACTTAAATTTGACAACAGTGTATCCTTGTCATTCTTTATACGGAATGAAAAGGAGAGATTGATGTTAAATTTAGTTTTAAGTTTAGAGAATCACGCCAGAATCGACACCAATATTTATCTTTGGTCAAATATAAATTTCTAACATAATTGTTAGTGTCAATAATATGAAATTTTTCACTTTTACACATTGTGAACATAAGCATATTTAATTTATATCTTAAGATATTTTCCTCCTTTGGCAGACTTCTACAATAGGGCAATGTAAACAATATAATTTTTTCAACATTTAATGAGCTCAGGTCATTGACATATTGAATCAATGATTTTTTGTTCAAATTGCCTCTATTTCCCACAAAAAATAACAAAGTAGTGCATTTACTATAATTCTGTTTGATTGCATTTCCTAAGATATCCTTATAAGAAACATTAGGCATACAGTGATTGATAATTGAATTTCCCATTTTAGATAAAAGAGGGCCCATGCCCTTGCCAATTTCATCACTAAATAATATGATTTTTTTATATTTATTATCTAAAACTAAGTTGTCCGAGTGAATTGTTTTCACTGAAGTCAAGCATTCCTTTGATGGCTGCTGTGGGGAACTAATAGTTACATGTTGTGATATGGAGGAATCACAATTGACAGGTGACAGAGCTGTTAACTGTTTACAATCACATGTGTGATTGTTAGTTAAAGAATTAAATCTGTCATTGTTGTAATTACATAATTCAACCAACTCATTCAGTGCCTTCATGTGTTCCTTTATTTCTTTTTGTGACAGTTCATATTTTTTTGTAACATTTATAAGACACTCTTGTAATTGTTCAATTTTACTTTGCAATGTTTGTGTGTCTTTTTTATATCTTAGGCTAATGTTGTCATATTTTATTGAATATATATCCAATTTATCAATTAATTGCAATCTTTCCTTGTTTAATTTTACATTTTTTATAAAGAACTTTTGTTTTTTTACAAGTTTTTGAGTTTTTAAATGTGGATATTAATACCACAGTGTAATAAAAAAAATGATTTAATTTATCGATCTTTACAAAATAGATTTGTTTTTATGTTATATAAACAACTTCGATCAGTCTTTGGCTGAATGTTACTACACCCATAGCCATTAAAAATGATTCGTATGTTTTCCAAACCGGTAAAATTAAAAGTCCTTTCTAAAGTAAATACATTATACAAAGGTGTCCGTTGAAATCTAATGACTGTAAATTAAATTATAAATTACGCCAAGAATTCCCGTGTATGTCAATATTTTTTGTGCATTTGGGCCAATTTGAGCAATCTCCTTAAATAACAGCTCGCAAATATGAGCCCTGCAAGGGCATTGCAAATTATAATAAAAGTATACAAATATTAATTTAAAATTTGATAAAGTAACAATAGGATAAAAATTTAAGATAGATAGAAAAATTGAATTAGTTAATAAAAAATATAACTTTAAAATTAATTCATATAATATGTATTTTAAGCAATTATAAAATACATTTAGGGTTAGGTCAAGAAATGTATGCCAATCAAAACAATAAATAAATAAACAAGTAACAATAATAAAAACATAAGTATGTTTCATTTTGAAGGTATCATCGATAGCACACGAGGTTGTGTTGGCGTTATCATTCGGCTTCTTCTACCCCGTGCTGTTATTGGAGTTTGGCGTGTGCGGCTTACTCATGGTGCCGCTGACTGCTACAACCGGCCGCCGCTATCCTAACGTGCTAAACCTGCTGATGTGGCTCTCCTTCTTTTTTGGCAATGGTAAAGTATCTATATGCTAATATCATCATCATTTATAAATAGGTATGTCTCCGGCTGAAGTACAGGCCTTCCCTAAGGATGGCATGGGGAGAAGGGACACGAGTCTTTCCTATGGATGGCATTAGGGATAATAGCCCACCACGCGATACTGGTAGTGGTTGCTAAAGACTGCCGATGCAGGTCAGCTCAGTCAACGGCTTAACGTGTCTTCCGGAGCGCGGTGGATCTCGAGATAATAAGTTTTTGGTCACCCATCCATTGGTTTGGTCAAGAAAGTTTCTTAACTTCACGATCGCACAAAGAATTCGCTAACACATGTGCCATCGAGCTCCTTAATACTAATATCGTGCGATTCAAACTCAATGGCGGCTGTCAAGTTAGCACAAGTGGTGGCACATTAAATGATGAAATTGAAATGCTTGCGAGATGTTTCCTGAAATCTGAGGGTGAGCATTATTAATGCACTTGTTAATAAATTCAGAGCTGCCAGCTAAAGTTTAGTCGCTGTATACTATGCAAAGTAACTGTGTGCTTATATATATCTGTGTTTTACGCTTTCATTACGAAACCACCAATTTTGGTGAATTTTCGTACAGAATAACAGAATTGAAATAAGTAGTGAAACATAGATAAATGATTCATTTCATTTCATCATTGACAGACATGACAGACATTCATCTATGTAGTGAAATATGAATGCATGTTTATTCCTGTAAAGGTTTTCTTTTTGACATTGTGGGTTATTTACAATGCGAAGAGATGGCGCTATAATGGTCAGTGCGTTCGCCCGGATAGGGAAGGGTGCGGGTTCGAGTCTTTTTAATTATATTTTCTTTTATTTCTAGGTATTCTCTGGAGCTTGTACCCAATGGAGTATTTCGCAAGAAAGAACTGCCCGGCGTCAGAAAATGACAGTTTCTTCGTACCAAAGTCATGGTCTTGTCCTGAAATAGTGTTAAAACCTAACTGGACTTTCCAAAACCCTTTTGACATAATTTATGAAATAAAAAGGACAATTTTATAAAAAATAACCAATTCCAATTGTAGTCAATACCAAAACAAAAGATTTATTTGGCAATAGTGCAATTAAAATCGAAGAGTTTTTACAATTAGGTGCCATAAAACAATTGCTTGTTAGAAAAACTGTTGAAACTGTTAAAAAATATCCAAGTTGTGGACACAGCACACAGGTAATGTGCTAGGAAATTCTTTCATGCAAATATAAGAAAATAACAATTAGGTACCTAACATAAAGCACGACGTTCCATATAGTTAGGTATTTATAAGTAATACAAATTACTAAATAAGTAACCTACTGTTTTATGGATATGTATTTATGAATAATTGTATATATTACGATATAAGAATCTTGGCTGGCCTCAAGTTACCCATTAGGCTGCTGCGCACCTAATACCGGGTTCACACCAGGCGATTTAAATTTATCAACTTGTATCGTTCCATTGATTTTCGATTAAAAGTCTGTTCAAACCGCATGCAACTTAGCAGTTGATCAACTAAAATCGCCTCATGTGTATCCGGTTTAAACAATTTTATTCCTAAAAATTCAACGGCGCATCCTAACGCGAAGTGTCTGTAAGTATCTAACACTGTACAACCGAGAAATCTGGCTAGAAATAAATATGAATTTTATATAATTACCTACTTTTTTACTTTTCATTCCAACTGAAAAACTATACTATAGGTAGGTAGCCCTTTCAAAGCTAAAGAAAAATGTTTTAATTTGACATTAGAACCACTATAAGAGATTGCGATTGCGGAAAAGTTATACAGTTCGTGGCACGCGCATACTTTGCATTCCAGAAAGCTAAGCTAAAGTAGCAGCATGTATCGTACTGTGAGAACGTGATGGTGTCTATTCCGCTGTCTGGTAAAGTTGCAATTGCAAAGATACAGCGACTCGAAGTCCATGAACTAAAAATATTGTTTTTATAATAAAAATATAAACACATTCCCACTGCCTCGTCACTGCTGAAACATTTAAATAATATTCCAAGGTTTTTGGCTGGGCATATTGATGGTCTATCCGTGGGTCTATCTATATAATAAAGTCATTAATGGTGAGCTCGATTGATAGTTGAAGACTTAATCTGATGTGATATTTAATTTCGAAACTTTAGTGATCAAATTAATATTTAACTTGATTATAAATAAAATAAGTATGCTATGAGCAATAAATAGAATCAAAGAGAGGCAGCGAGGGATTCCCCCAGGTAGGGGGGTGGGTCACTGGTCGGGCGCAGCCAGGGCGCGCCTTCGCCTTCCCCTACCTATTTTTCTGCGACCGGAGGGAGCGGCCAGAGAATTATCCTCCCGTTCGAATGACAATAGACCGAAGTGCCGCCCGCACAGTTGCCGTCACCTTCAGGGCTACCTATCTCAGGGTACGAATTATTATCAGGCGGAGTTTCTGCTTCCACAGTCCACAGCAATCTATAAAATATATGTATGTAGGTACCTACTATAAAAATAGTTAAAAACTAATGTGATTGAAATAAAAACCTTAAGAAAAAAACATTTATTATCTATCTGTAACAAATTTTCTTATTTAACATTAATATTTTATTCATACGCAATAATAATAATATGTAATTACACAAACGGTCCGATTTCACTGTTCTTTTAAATCCTGCAAAATTGACGATTCAAAGAAAACGGAAAACTAATTAATATAAGTATTATATATCGCAGTAAAACCGGCTCGCAAGTTCTTAAACCAACGACGACAATATGATTTCTTAATTTTTAACTTTTTATTCATAATTAATCAATCATTCTACATTTACTATTCATGGCAACCATACATAAAATAACCGATTTGACTAAGAACTTTGGTATTGTGTTTTAATTTTAGTTAGTTTTTCGTAAGTTCGTATTTTTTTTTCTTGTTGTGTATTAATTAGTAAGGCATTTTATTATTTGTGAATAATATGGACGGTAATAACAAAACTAATTTAAAAGAATAACAGAGATTGATTATAAAAAAGAGGAATGTTATGCAAAAGAGAAAACTTAAAGAAAAACTTACAAAGATAGATCACTAGTGGATTGCTTGCGATTACTTATGGAAAAAAACACTAAAGAAATAAAATCATGTACACTCGTAGAAAGACCCGCTATGTCACCCATAATGCCATAATCGCTTGCGGTAGCGGCGTAGTAAAAATTCATTCATAGACATGTAATTATCGCTGTCTTACTTTTTCGTATAGCGCTGTCGCGACACCATGCGGATGACAAATTGCAATTAAAACAAATGCAATTCAATTCATTATTCAATCAATGAAATGCTCTCTGTCTTACTTTTGAGCGGCGGCCCGGTTTGGCGCGTCCGACGCGAAGGCGGAGCGTAGTTAAAACTACTGTAGAAAACCGTTCAAAGCATTTTGTTCGCCAAGTGACAGAGCGCAAAATTCCGCGATAGTATCTACATTTCTGTAGCAGACTCACTCAAACATACATAATTTTTAAATTTGTTAAAGTAGATGCTGTCACTTTCCATGTGATAACGGAACACAACACTTTACTTCAACAAACATTAACTTTAATTAACGTCTTTGAGTACGACTGGTAATGACGACTCCAAAAGTCTGCAGACTTATTACATAATTAAAATAATACTTTTATTTATTTTCAATCAAATAAACATTCATGATGAATCAAAGTCATAGGTGGCAAAGGTGTTTTTACGCGAAGACAGATATACAGTAATAACATCAGTTAAAGGATGACTCACGCCACACCATTCGGGGTCCGGGCCGGGCGTCGACCGTGTCGGGTCCGGGCATCGGCCGTCGCAAGTCGTCAGTTGAATAGCCCAAGCGGGGATTTTTAGAGAAAAACTTAAGAGGGCAACCTTTGTTTTTATAGCGAGGTAGGCAAATGACTCTACCCCACCTGATGTTAAGTGGTGATAAAGTCCAAACGCGAAGATAGCTGGTACAGCAGTTATAAATTACTACATCAACCATCCTCACCTTGCCGGCCTGCAAAAATGCTTCTTCACGCCTCTCTTAAAGGAACCCCAGATTGTAGGAAGGGGGGAACACGTGCGCGGGCAAAAAATAGTACGACAAAGAAATGAGACCCTACACCTTGTGAAGTACTCCCACCGGTATGGTGGGTTTCCCCCTTATGTTATTCTGCCGCACTCTTCTAACTCCCAAAATCCCCGCTAAAGCTGCCCTACTTTTTTTTTATAGCGAGGTAGACAACTACACGCTTTTAAATGCCGACGTTCATGACCGGCCCGGCACGGTCTAGCGTAAGTTATCCTTAAAATCAGTGTGATTATGTAAATTGAATATCTATATAAATATTTTCAGCCGGCCTATCCGCTAACTCTTTTGAAATTTACAGTGTGTAACTAAAGGGGAAATTGCATATCCATCGATGCTTTTCAGAACAAGTATCTTAGTGAAGTTATAATAAAGCAGTAGTGGATTACTAAATAGCTCGGTGATTAGCACTTCCATCTGTCAAAAGCAGTTAGCGAATAGGCCTACAGATGCCTCATGAAATACGTATCTGATACAAGTAAGCATATCCCCACATCAAGTCAACAGTTCATCCAGTTCACTCCAACAGCACCATTCTGTCAATTTGATAAACCATCATCTAAATAGGGAACACTAACCCCACCAGTCTGTCCAAAACATACTTTAAAGTAACGTTACCTTTCGTCACTTAAATTAAAATAACGAATTAATCCATAATACATTGGCATCATAACATTCCTCACAGCCCTTACTGACTATTATAAAATATATTACCGTAACTTAAGTTTATAACTGCGTTGCGTAGATATTCAATTCTATTTGTATAGCTTATAACTAAATACCTTAGGGTGTAGTCCCACATACTGCGATAGAGCAATGAGTAATATCTTAATAATGCTGTTTTAATAGGAAAAGTTGATTTTAAAACCACTTGGTGATTGCTCATTACTTAATACTGATGGGAACTAAATTTCTGTTACATACTCACTCTGAAAAACACAACATGTGAAACTAGTCCTAAGCTTATGTAAACTAAACATAATATACCCAATTACTAATTAATTACGACAGTTCTTAAATATTGACTATAAAATTTGTTGTGTAAATAGTATGTTTATCTCTAATATGTGCCAATTGTGTATAGAAATATAAATTCGTGAAATGTGGCAGTCCCGAGGGTTTATTTGGTATGTTTTTAAACAGCAGGTGTACGGTCCAGAGCCTTGAACAATGTCGATGACATCCTGAAATTATTAAATTGTTTATTAGTAAGATAGTTTTGTTTTCTGTAAAATACATTTTTAACTAAATTATTACATTACACTCATTTCCCAAATTTTAAGTTAGCGGCATTCTTTTTGCTAAAATCACAAACAATACAGGGGTATACAATCAAAGTTGGTAAAGTCCACAAAAAGTGTGATTTAAATTAAAACACATTCATTTCCGTATCTATATTTATCCCATAGAATAATTTTATACAAATTCTAGAAATCTCAACTGTTATTTCAAATTGACTTTACAAACAAACATAGCAAAGTTTAAGCGAGTTGAGTTTCAATTTGCGTAAAGTCCTTTTCGACCAATAGAAAGGCTCCATGCCACCATTTCACTGACAGCTGGCATGGCCGCCTTTGATGTTGTCATGCTCTTTTGTTGTGTTACAGTTACAAACTTAGTACATAGTCCAGGCAACGAAAAGGTATAGAGGGAAATGCTTAGAACACAATTTTTGACTTCGTGACTTTGTTAGGACTAGTTAGGAGGTAAACATATCAAAAGTCCCCGCCCGATGCCCTTAAGCCAGGGGGAGGGGGGGGGCTTGAAGGTAGTATATAGGTAGTATAGTAGACAATATAGTCAATTTCTTGCTCTTTTGGGGTGGGAAGAACCTTGATCCTCGTCTTCGTTTACATTTTCATTTTCTGTGTCATCTTCTCCATCGGAACCCTGTAGGGAAACGGTCAGAGGATCCTCCTGTTCTTCTTCACCTTCGGAGTCAACTTGAGGGACCCCATTCAAGCAGTTCCCCTGGCAATTTTGGTACGCTGGGGAACATTTGAGGCTTGCTTTTTTGCAGCCTCACTTCGCGCTTGCACAGTCTTTCGTGCATCGACAGAAAATCGAAAAATCATATAATAGGTATTTTTGGTCGTGAACATGGCCCCCGGCGGTGTAGACACCTACTTATTTAGGTAACGGCCAACACTGCCAGTTTTCTTACCGGGCGACGCAGGCACCCCCTTTAGTCAATACGTCTACTACCCCCTTTTTTTTATACGCAGGCAAAAAATACTATTTACAGACGACGGCGCCTTTAAGAGGCACACCGCCGAACGGACCTCACACCTGGCTCCCGCAAGCCTTACGAGCCCCAGCAGTGCCTGCCCACTGAGGACCCCGTAACCCTTACGGGCGCTTTACGGCATAATATCCGCTAAAAAACCCTACGAACACCCTCTAAGCTGCTTAGTGCGAAGCCGCGAAATCCCCGTTTAGGGATTCTTCCGCGTCTCCGCACCTAGCAGCCTCCCGGCCTTGCCGAGGTTCCGCGGCAGGGGTCTCCCGGGGTATCGCGAGGACCCCACAGACGTGCGCAGGACGCCCCGCGCGTGGGGGCTGAGTACGCGGCCTAGTGCCCACCGTACCGCCCCCATACGTCCACTACCCTAACAATTTTGTCCTTAAATAAAAAAAAGGCAATTGTTTCTATTATTGAAGATAATTTAATGCTCTACAACCCTACGGCCGGCATTTATTTTCTGGGTGCATTGTTGAAGAGTTATCCGGTCAAATAGAGCTAAAATGGGAACAATTTTTTTTTCCATAATTACAGACTTTCAAGAGCGGATATCTCGAAAACTATACAAGATATCAAAAAATTTGACTGAATAAGACTTGTAGCAAATTTAATCAGCTTTCACTTTTGTGAAAGTCTCATGTCGCTAGGATGCATAGTTTTCGAGATATATGCGAAAAACCTAAAAATGGGACCTTCAAGCCCCCCCCCTCCCCCCGGCTTAAGGGCTACGGGCGGGGACTTTTGATATGTTTACCTCCTAACTAGTCCTAACAAAGTCACGAAGTCAAAAATTGTGTTCCAAGCATTTCCCTCTATACCTGTTTTTGAGCATTCGTTGCCTGGACTAACAGTCCAAAACTTGGTAACAAAACTGGGAAAGTCCATTTTATACTTAAGGTTTTACTCAAAAGTATTGAACTGAACTTGGTGAGCACTTGTATTTCCATAATGTATTTATTACATTCTGCATATAAATAATGTTTAACATTAGAATAGTTACGTGTAATTATTAAAATAATCATTTTTATCGTTTACTGAACATTTTAGAAATGTGGACTTTACCTCTTCTACAACTTTGATTGTATACCCCTCAATAGCAGTAACCAATCACTATCATGCGGAAATTGTTTGCATAACTTTAATGGCAAATATGTATCATCCTTCTACTAATATTTACATCCTCTTACTAATCTATAACCCATAGATAACCCACATTTAGATTCACTGACCCAGCCCCTCTAGCATGACCACAGAAACGGGTATGATAAAGCGATATATCGACATTAACTGTCAGTCTACTATGGAGTTTGACAGTAGACTAACAGTTAATGTCGATAAATCGCTTTATCATATCCCGTTTCGGTGGTCATGCTAGAGGGGCAGGAATTTAATTGTTACCAAAGCTGAACTACATGGGTTTTTCCTATGTACTGACTAATATTGGTAATACCAGTTGAAGTGAAATTAAGAAGGGAAAAATCTAGTGAGTCACTGCAGTTTGCAGAACTGATAGAATGATAGAATGATTGTTATAATACTTGTAATTTATTTATCAAATATTTAATCATAAAATTTAATTTTGTCTTATACACACACACATTAGTTTAATGTATAAACAATTACTACACAATGATAAGTTTAAATATACCATGAAATTGCTATAACAACATTAAAAAAAAACTTTTTTCTATTCATTTTTTTTCTTAGAGGTATCAAGTGGATACACTGGATCATAACTTATCCCAGAAAAAGGATAAGAAATCCTATTTTTTTAAAATACAAACCTAGTATATAATAATCATGTTAATTGACATATTATTTTATTTTTATTGACATATTTATTAATTTTAATTACTGACAAATTTTATTTAATTTTATAAATGAATTTCCATTTCTATTATATTTATACTATTAATAAGATCAATTGAGTAAGTTATATTGTTAAACAAATGGAATCAGATGACATTTATGCATAATTTGAGATATAAGAGGTTTAATACTTATTAGGTTCCTTATATACATACAAAATACAAAATACAAAAGCCTTTATTGCTGATAATTTCATAAAATACACATCATTAACCTTCACTTATAATTCAGCGTGACCTGCAGACACAGGCCTCCTCCAGCCTTTTCTACCCCGATCTATCCCTTGCTAACCTCAGCCATAGCGGGCCAGCTACCCTTCTTATGTCATCTGACCATCTTTTCAGCTGTCGTCCACGTTTACGGTAAGTGTTCATTCTGGGGATCCATTCCGTGGTCTTCCTTGTCCACTTCCCTATTTCGTCTCTTGTGACGTGACCTGCCCACTTCCATTTGAGTTGCCTACTTTTTTGAATGACATCCTCAATTTTTGTGCGTTTTCTGATGTCGGTAACTCTCTTCTTGTCACTCCTTCTGTATCCAAGAATACTTCTCTCCATGCCTCTCTGACACGTTCATAATTTGTTTTGCAGTGCTTGTGTCATGGCCCAAGTCTGGCAACCATATGTTAGTATTGGTAAGATACATGTGTTAAAGAGTTTTCTTTTCACTGATATGGTGTAGTGGGCATTCTTCATGATATCTTTTAGAGACCAGTACCTTTTCCAAGCTTTAACGATCCTTCTGTCGATTTCCTGTGCCATCTGGTCTTGAAATGATACAAGCTGTCCAAGATAAATGTACGATTTCACATACTCCAACTTTTCCTCATTCAGATAGATGTTGGTTTCTAACCTGTTTGTCATGACTTTGGTTTTTGACCTGTTAATTGTCAACCCCACCTCTCTACTTTTTGTGGCAAGCTCTTGCATCATTAATTGCAACGATTCAGGGTTGTCAGTAATTAGCACTAAGTCGTCGGCGAACCTAAGGTGGTTTAGACTTTGGCCATTAATACTGATTCCTAAGTCATCCCAATCCATGGTTTTCATGACTTCTTCTAGGACCGCTGTAAACAACTTTGGCGAGAGGGGGTCTCCTTGTCTCACACCTTTTTGGATTGGAAAGCTTTCACCATATGTCTCCAGTTTTACCCGTGATGAGCTATTTTGGTATATGTTCCTGATTACCGTACGCATTTAAGACCTACTCCTTGGTTTTTCAGGGCTCTCCATATGTGTTCATGTTCCAAACAATCAAACGCCTTGTTGTAATCAACAAATGCCAAGTATAAAGCAAGACCATATTCTTGGCATTTTTCTATAACTTGCTTCAGTGTGTGCATATGGTCGGTTGTTGCAAATCCAGATCTGAACCCTGCCTGTTCTACTGGTTGGTGGTAGACTAATGTTTTTGAAATACGATTTAGAATTATTTTTGAGAACACCTTATATACATTTGACATTAGACTGATTGGTCGGTAGTTTCCTACATCGTCTTTGTCTCCTTTTTTGTATAATAAGACAATGGTACTAACTGTGCATTGGACAGGAATACATTCTGATTCTAAAATTAGGTTGTAGATTTTAGTCAACTTTTGAATGTTATCTGGTAATGTTATTTTCATGATTTCATTGGTAATGTAGTCTTGGCCTGGTGATTTGTCATTTTTCTGTGACATAACTGCATGAGCTACTTCACTTTCTAAAACTGGGAGGGTAGTTTCTTCGGTTTCTTCTGATAGGTTTATGTTGTTTTCTTTGTCATCAGTTCTGTATAATTTCCTGTAGAAATCAGTTGCGATATTCAGTATATTTTTCCTTTTAGACTCGGTTTTTTTGTTCTTGTTTTTCAGTATAGGTATCCATGATTTTGATTCTCGGAGTTCCTTCAGTGCTTTCTTGATCCCACCTGTTTTAATTATGTGTTGGTTGATACATTCAGTTCTTTTCCTAAATCTGTCCTTCTTTATACTTTTGCTTATTTCTTTACTGATCCTGGTAATTTCCATAAGTAGTGTTTTATCTCTTTTGTTGCCTTTTAACATGTCTTTTCTGACCTGAATCAGTGATTTCGTGGTTGCACTCAATGTTTGATTTTTTGTAGTTTTATGTTTTGTTGTTTTGTACATATTGTTTATTTCCTTGTTATATGTTTCTTGAATTGTGTTACTGGTTATTGGTCCACTAGAAACTGTTAAAGTTGGTTGTGCCGGCTCACAATGTTTTTGCTGTCTTAAATTCTTCCTACATTTTACTTCACGTGTGCTTGATATTGTTGCTCTGACCATACGATGATTGGTATAGAAATTTAACTGAGAGATAACATTAACATTATGGAATACTTTAGGACGGTTACTCAAAATATGGTCGATTTCGTTGCGGTAAGAGCCGTCAGGTGATATCCATGTCCATTTCTTTGAAAGTTTTTTCATGAAGCAACTGTTCATAATCTTTAGTTTATGTTCTAGGGACAATGAAATCATCCTTTCACCATTGGGGCTCCTTATACCAGTTCCATGTTTTCCCATTATGGATTCTTCTCCTGGACGCTGCTTGCCAATTCTGCCATTAAAGTCACCCATAACTATCACATTCTTGCAACAAACATCTAGAGTTTCGTTTAAATTTCTGTAGAAGTCATTTTTTAGTTCCTCGTTTGAAGCCTCTGTCGGTGCATAAATCTGAACGATGGACCAATTGTTGTTGGCGTCAGGTAATTTAATGTTCAATATTGCTATTCTCTCAGAAACACCTTTAAACTCTATAATATTCTTCCTCAGTTCTTTTTTTATCATAAAGCCAACCCCTTTCCTTGTCCTTAAGATTCTCCTTTGTAGTAAAATATGTAGTCACTATGTTCTTCAATTGTGTCTCTCAATCTTCTTATTTCGCTAAGGCCCAAGATATCCCATCTAACGTCTTGCAGTGCGTTCTCTAGTTCTTGAAGCCGTTCGTCAGTTCTTAGGGTTAATACATTTAGTGTTGCTATGTGTAGGTTGACATTTCGTTTAGGGGTTTGTCTATCGTTTAAGTTTTGTTTTGCAGAGAGTTGTCTTGTTTTAGGGTGCTGTTCCAGATATTGTTCTCGATATTGTTGTGCTGGAGGGTTGCGGTCATTTTCCCCCACGGAGACCGCTATCCGGCTTGGGGGGCGCTTCCGGTTATTGATGTGTGCAGAATGTCATTGGTTGTTAAGGTTTGGAGTTGAATTAGTGCTTGGTCGCGTTGTAAATCCTAATGGGTTTGTTTAATTGATTTTTGTTCTTGTCTCGCCTCGTTTAGTGTTATCTTGCTGATTGGGCGAGTCTGTTGGTGTTCTCTTCCTCTTTTCATTTTCTTTGGTGGCTGGATTTTTGTCTTTCACTATTAACTTGTCATACCGTATGAAAGCTATTTTATTTCTTCTTGCTGCTTGACTTTTAGTTCTTTTCTGAAATTAAGAATCTGTTTTGGGTAGTCTTCTGTTATGTATATGTTCTTAGGAAATCTTTTTTTGTTGCGAAGTAGTTCGAGTTTTCTCCATTCAAGCATAAGTGTAAATAGTATAGGCCGCGTTTTATTACTGTCTTTTATTCCTAGTCTTTGTATTCTGCTTATTTCATATTTGTCCCAGTTGTCAAGTCCAGTATCTTTGTAAATGTTATTGAGACATGTGATGAGGGATTCTACTAATTCCATATTATTTGTTTCCTTTTCTTGCAGGCCATGTAAAATCAGATTATTCTTTCTCACATCGCGTTCAAGGTTTGATACTTGTTTATTCAAAAACGCAACTTCATTTCTCAGATGTTGATTTTCCTCCACCAAAGGCTTCAATTTTTCATCTATAGAGACGGATAACTGGGCAAAGCTTTATGTAAGGGTTTTGGTTTGTTTTTGATATTCTTGTTGCATTTCATCCATTTTATCCAGTATAGCTTTGATTGTCGTATCCATGTCGAAGATGATCAATTGTATTTTAGTTTTGGTAGGATTATTTTGAACTTTTTGGTAGATTATTGTTGTTGGTAAATTTGTACTTTTTATATGGCCACACTTTTATGATGGCAATACAGGTAAGCTTATGTCATCTGTCACTAAATCGCTTGTGTCAACTGTCACCAAATGCCGGATGTTGATCAATGTGAATAGTCCAATCTGTGATTGTGTTACTTGTATAGCTATACGTATTTATATCGTCTTGAGTTCTATTATGCCACTTTCTCTGTTTATATTATTGTATTATCACTGTTTTTATTAAAAAACTGACACCTTTGCACTAATTTTATACTTTAAGATAAGTTTCGTTGTAAAAACACGGTATTTCAAGCAGATTTTTTTTAAAAAACTGGAGAGGTACAGAACAGCACTTGTCACTCAACGATGGCCGAACCGGAAGTCCTTATATACATAACTGTTTAATAATTAAATTCTTTTGTAATTTTTATCTTTAACTGTACTGTATATTGCGATACCCTGACAGGGTTCATGTTAGGTACTATAAGCATTTTGTAACCATCGATGTAACCACATGAGTGCAATAAATTGAATTGAATCCCAAAGTCCATATATAAAAAGTATTTATAAATGTTTTTTTTTCATTTCATTATAAACAAATATTTTATTTATGTATCAAGTACTGTTAATTCAAAAATCATTCATTCTTTTAATGTTCCATCCCTTACTTTTATGTTTGTATACAATCAAACAATTGCATTACATAATTTTTTTTAACATGTTTGGTTTTTCATTTGTGGTGTCATTTATGAAGTGTGTGTTTGTGCGTACATTGCATATTTTCGTTAGTAATATATGTCTACCATGTCCGCCGCTAAAATGGCCAAAACAATATTTTTGGTGAGTGAACAGTATGGCATCTCCATTGGTATAATGCTCTAATTCCACAATAGATGGCATGCAAATAGTGCATACAAAATAATAAACAACTTACTTGCTTATCATGTGGTGGTATATGTAGAATGGTATTACAGTTATATTAACAACAGAGGGACTGTCATCAATAACTCTTGATATTTCCTTATCTTTCATGCCGACAACATTAATAGTGTTTATTTCTAGAATCTGGTGGTCAGTCAAAACTCCATTGCGTGCAGCAGACGAATCCTTCACTAGCCCAACAATCTTTCCATCTTTAAAGTGGAATCCGACATGTCCAAGAGAATCCTTATGAAGAGTGATTGTGCGCTCGAATGGTCTAAAAATAGAACAGCATAAATTAAAGAATAATTTGTTTTTATATCTTAAATCTCCAAAATATAAGTATAAGACACTAAACAAATATGACCAATGAATTTATACAATACATAAATTTTATATAACAAACAAAAACTACAACAAACCTATCACGAACAGCCATTACTATGCCATTGTTTGGAGATTTCTTCAATATCACATGGCATTGATCCATTGACAAACCAGCTAATGGCACATTGTTTATCTCAAGCACTTGATCTCCAAACCTCAATCCAGCCAGAGCAGCTGGACTGCCTGCAGCAACATAACATACAAACACTCCATTGTTCACCGAGTGAAGTCTTAGACCACACTCCCCTTCTCTGTCTTTGCATAAAACAACTTGTCTTATTGCTCCCGTAACTGTTGCTTTTATAAGTGAAGGTGACTGAGAGGAGATAGGTGCTATGACATTGCTGATACCACCACCTGCAGGAGCCTAAAATTATTGAAATTCAGCATTAGGTACAAATTTTACATGTTGCATTATCAATTTGTTGCTTTCAATAAACTCAAAAGTTGAAAATGGGACAAATAATATCCTTACTCCATGAAAAATGTTGCCTATTATTGCATTTTTAATTGCAATACCTACTGATTGATAATGACATGACAATGATGGAAGGACATTTAAAAAATTCATTTTTTTCTTTTCAATCGCATCTTTACTTTATTTATTAAGATAAACAATGTAATCTTTTCTTTTCAAATACTTACTACTTGCATCTGATATTCAGGCATATTCAGGGCAATAACATCAGAGGAGAGTTCTAGCCCCATGTACTCCCCCAGTGCAGGGTAAACCTGAGCCAGCGCATTTGGACCACTCGGTGCACGATGTGCATTGAACGAGGGTGGAGCCTGATGATGACTCATTTGTGCCCGCACCATTGTATCAACTTTCATATCCTCCAAAGACGGATAAAGAGACATTTTCGCAACCTGGGATTTTACAAAATTAGGTTAAACCTATGTCTGGAGTATATTTATCAATTTTATTGTATGACGTAGGAAGAACAATATCACATTACAAGATCCATCAAATGTTAGAAAGAACACAGTAATAATTATATCTCTGCGACAGTTATATACTACCCACCGTTTAATTAATGTACACAATCGAAAATAATCACTACAACGAAACTACGTGGCTTTATTTTATTTTATTTGTATAAAAGATTGAATTTGAGTGAGAACAAAAAACATCCACAAGGATTGGTTAAGTTCTCCCTTTTCAGGGAAGGCAAGGGGAACAATGCCCATACAGCCTAGTCTTAAGTTAAATTATTCTGTTTTTCCTTTTACATTAGAATGTCGGTGTGACGCATTCTAATGTTTCTTGAAGTGTTTGGCACGAAATATATCGAGCTGGCTTTTTCGATAAGCTTCTGTAAGGTAGTCAATACTACAATAAAATTCTCACGTCCACTTGACCGGAATAGCGTATATTTTGACGATTCTACTAATTCTTCAGTTACGCAGACAGTTGTAACACAAAATCACACCAATTTTATTTCACAATATCCACTATGAACGAATTTAAGAATAATTAAAATAAAACGCCAACCACACTCGATGAAATCCCGCCAAAAACTCCCCACTAGGGATGGCGATCTGAGATCGATTAATCGAAGAATCGATTTTTTGACCCAAAAAGATCGATTTTATTAATCGATATGTAGTACAGAATCGATTCTCTGAATCGATATTACGCCCTTGAAAATCGACATTCGATTTTATTTTATTTATTTGGTATAAACCTAAAAAGTATTTACAATTATTTGAATGTACCCGTTATAAGAGTGCTGCCAGTAAAATCGTTAATTATAAAAAAAATCGCGAAATGGCTGTATGTTTGGATTCCTTCTCCCCGTTTTAATAAAAAAAGTTACGTTTGTTTGTAATCTTTGAATAAAAATATTTTTTATCATCGAATCACCTGATTTTGCTGATAAGAGATCATTAAATTGTAATATGTATCTTGTTTTTAAAAAAATAGACTTATATTACATTATAAACAAAAACTTAAACAAAGATCGATTTTTCAGAAATCGATCTTATTGGCCCCGATTTTTTTGTGGATCGATTCATTAGGTCACGATTCGAATCGATTTAAAAATCGATCTTTTTCGGAAAGAATCGCCATCCCTACTCCCCACAAGGATTGGGTTCCGGCCAAAACGATCCGGATAAAATAAGGTACTCTGTGACGATACCATTTTAATAGCGAAGTGCCGAGTACGACTTGACTCAAATCAGATTCGATTCCTGCCTTGGATTCGCTTACTCGATACCAATTTATTTTGATGCGAGTACGCCAGACTCGATACCGTACTAGAGTCAGGAAGAATGGATTTTATACTCGCAGACTCGGTAGCCATACACACTACGAGAAATCGTTACGATTAGACTGTACAGTCACATTACGCAAGTCGACTGACTCGAATCATGTATTCGAGTTAGGTTGGTTGACTCGGTTGTACTCGATCTCTGTCTATTTGTGACGCATATTAATACAAGTTTGAACTTGCAAATTTTGTTTTAATTTCTTCATATTGTGTTAGTGAGCTGTTACTGTAAGTGAATTTAATTGGTAATTACTAAAACTAGTGTACTTACTGATTTTATTGTAATTAATTTTAATACATATAATTGTTCCATTGGTTTGTTAAAAACTAATTGAACAAATATCTGATGTTCTTAAATAGCTTTTAAAATGATCTCATATTGTTGTGTAATAAAACAAGTAGAACTTGATCTCATCACTAGTTTTTAAGTTTTATAAATGTTGATTTAAATAAAGACTTAAGCAAAGTAAAGACGTATTTTTAATTAATATTAGTTAGCACAATAAGTTTACGTAAAAAGAATATTTTCATAAGATGACACAGAAAGATAACAAGTCAGTAGCTATAGCAACAACCAAAAGGCAATAGATAATATTGTAGTGATGTGGTCTCTTCACACCCTACGAACTTTTAAGAATTTGCAATTCTATTTGGTAATTCTTTTGAGTCCAATTTTTCCATTCAGCTCTTCTAATCTTGGACCGTACAGTTTGTCTTTAAAGTCGTAACGTGAATGTTTGAGGAACTAACATTATTCATGTGTCTGGCAACACCAAACTTATGTACATCAGCTGTCATCGAGTTTCAGTTGTGGAACAGTTTTCCTTTTGCATAGGACATTGTTGTTCGCCCATTTTCCTACATAAAATTCGTGTTCGGGACTCTTCTCTTTGCGAATGTGGCTTAGACGAAGGCACCCTGGAACACATTTTCTTCAGTTGTTCCAAAAATCTTCCTTCTCTTGACTTATACCACCGTCTCGCAGAGTTAAAAATCCCGCTCCCGATCAACATGGCTTCCCTTCTCACCTATTTTACTCCTTAACTTACCAGGACATTGATGACTTTTATCCATTGTAACTCCATAAAACTCTGACAAATTTAATTAATCATATACATGTTTAATTATGCAATTAAATGTTCTAACGCTTAATATATATAAGAGCTTATCTTACAGATTAATTTTGTCTTTGTTTCAGCATACTAACCAATAGGTACAAGAAGGATAAACACATCCAGTTTCAATGTCATCGCTGGATAAACTATAGATTTCTATTACAGGTTTCTGAACAAATTGACCAAACACACGTTTGGCCATCACTTCTGATATTGGCAGAATTGTCGACATTGGCATCGACACAATTGCCATTAAAAAGAATAGAATAGTTTTCCTTTTGTATTTTTTATTGTTTGGATTAAACTGAAACGCAGAAAGGTATAAAAATGAGTAAAGTAGATCGGAGTGGCACGCGGGAAGTGATTTTTAAAGTTTTCCAGCGATGTTTCAAAGACTACCAAGCTGGACGAATTTTGTGAGATTTGGACGATGTTTATGGGCAAACAGCAACTATGACGGGTATGTAATCGTGTAACTATTTGTTTGTAATCTGCCTGAAGTTACAAATTTACTCAATTTACGATTTTGAGACCAAAAAAGGCATTGTTTACATAGCACATTTTTAGGTTAGATTGACATTGTAAATAGGTAATATTGTAGTACGATCATTTCTTTTGATACGTTATTATGGTTCAACTCGGTCAGGTTTTCTACCAATTTTGAATTAATTGCTTCATGTCAATAAGTTATTGTTACTATTCCGTTACATATTTTTTTACTTTTATTCAGGAAAATCAGAGTCGGATAGTCAACGAAGGTTTTAAGAATGATGGAAAGTTTAAAACTCCTGGGAAAACAGGCAAGGCCGACCAAAGAAAGAAATGGTCACATAAAGAACCATGGCCAGATGCTTTTAGTGAAGATATCTATCACTAATTTTACTAACTGCACATTTACAAATTGTTTCTCTAAATAAACTTTTAATTATTATTTTCTTAACAAGTGTGTTAAAAAACGTCGTATGATGATACTTGTGTGTATTGATGATTACCTAACGGCTCTGGTCTCAATGGCACCTCAGCGGTAATCACCAACATTACACACTTTTACACTATAAAGTACTATTTTATCTATAATAATTTTATTCTGATTCAATTAAATATGCTTGGCTAAATTTTTAAAAGCATAGGTACCTACTATATATAAAACAGAAACAAAATACGACTATAGTGTGTCTTATTAATTACCTATTTTACTTGAATGAACTGCTAGTATCAAAATCATTTTGGTCCGACTGTATAGGGTTGCTACATGTATATTAGTGTTGCGGACGGTACTTGCTTCACTACCAGTTCTCCATTGGTGGCACACTCACGTACAAACAGATGTTTGAGCTTAATATGTTTAGTACGCTTGTGATACTCATATTTTGGATTATGAGATAGTTTCACAGCCGACTCGTTATCCAAATAAAGAACAGGCTTTTCTAAAGAGATTAAATCCCTAAAAAGTGTATTCAGCCACATTATTTCTTGTGCGGTTTCACTGGCGGCTATTATTTCTGCCTCTACCGACGAGATTGAGACAGTTAATTGTCTTTGGCTTCTCCAGCTTAAAGCGGCGCCAGAGTACGTACAAACGTATCCTGACGTCGATCGTCCAGTTGTTTGATCTCCAGCCAGGTCTGCATCGCTGTAGCAAACTAAATGTGCCATATAGTTCTCTTTAGTTATAGGTGTTGGAGCTCCCTTGCAATTAGTCATCCCGTACCTTTGTAGCACTTTCTTTGTATAGGCCTTTTGGGAATTTGAGATAGTGTTATCGCCATTTATGTTAATTTCCATGCCTAGAAAATAGGAGGCAAGTTTAGTGGTAATTTTGAATCTGGCTTTTAGTTCGTCTATGAACTCGTCTCCTGCTGCAGTTGAATTATATGCAACTAGTCCGTCATCAATATATAATTCAATTAGGACTTTGGACTTTCCTTTAATTCTAACATATAGGCAGGGGTCTGCTTCGCTTTGTTGAAAAGCAGCCTCTTGTAAAAAATCAGTTATGCACGAATTCCAGCAGCGCGGTGCCTGTTTCAGTCCGTATAAGCTGCGTTTCAGTTTGCAGACTCGTTTGGTTCCATCGTTAAAACCTACAGGCTGTTTGACATAGATCTCTTCTTTCACTGATCCATTAAGGAAGGCAGTTGCTACGTCAAACTGTCGAAGCTTTAAATTTTCTTTGACCGCAATTGCTATGATTGCTCGAATTGTGCTAAGGCGAGCCACGGGACTAAATGTTTTGTCATACTCAACGCCTTGTTGTTGGGAGTAGCCTTTAACAACAACCCTTGCTTTGTATTGTTCTATGGATCCGTCTGGATTAGTTTTCAATTTGAAGACCCATTTGCAAGGCAGTGCTTTTCTTCCCTTAGGCAAGTCTACTAAATCCCAAGTCTGATTTTCATATAATGACTTTATTTCACTCAACATGGCCTTCAGCCATTCGTCTTTGTAAGGAGATTCCATGGCTTGTTTA